GAGGAACAACTTCCTAATTATTATAAACTTTACATTTACAATCAAAAATATTGTATAACTTCTTTTAGTAATTGTCCAAAAAATTCTTTCAAAATATGCCGTCCCGTCGTCGTCGGCTTCTGCCTTATTTTTTATTAATTTATTTAATCCTTTATTTACCAAAACAGAATTACGAAAATTAAAATAATATAAAATTTTATTTACATTTACAAAACTCATCACGCTTTAAAGAAAACTTCAATAAACAGATATAAAATTAGCCAGAACTAAGAATAAATTTTACTAATTATGCATAATAAATCGAGTTAAATAATATAATTACAAATCAAATATCAATTAACTTTTTTTTTAATATAGGATAGGGTGACAAACGAACACAGTCCACCTGATGGTAAGTGGTTGCTGTGACCCATACACATCTACATCTATCCTCAATTAAGAATCAAAATGCAGATGCGTTGTCACCCGTGAGGACTAACATGGAATGCCTCTTTTCCAGTAAAAATGGTCTGCGGTCTTTACACTCACCATACGAAACAAACAGCAGTGTCAGACTGCCATTTTACGCAGGTATTCTATGAGAACGTAGTCCTTCCCCGGCGGAGCCGATCCATTCGTGCTAAAACTATACTACTAATATAGCTGCAGCATGGCTCTAACACGTATAATTAAAATTAACTACATTTTTAATTATCAAATTTAAAATAATAGAATGAGATTACACAATTAAACAATTTAAATCAATTAATAATAATAATAAAATATGTTATGAAAATGAATTTACAGTAGATTAGTTACGATAAGATAATATTCAAATTATTACTTTTTTCACTTTTTTCACAGGTAAATAAAGGAAAAAACATACAATCGAATTGAAATCGGTAGAAAAAGCGTAGCAACTATGGCAAATATCTCCTCCCCTATGAGGTAACCTAGGGGCGAGGCCTATGTTCAGTAGTAAACTTAAACTTATAGGTAACTTGTTCAAAAGCGGGGTTTTCCTGAGTCAAATTGTTTCGCAATGAACGTAAAGGCGCGTCTCCACCAAAAATGTTGACAACATTTATGTTTCTGACATGTTGACAAATCAACAAAAGTTGACGACATTTGTTTCAAAATGTTGCAAGAAGCGTCTCCACCGAGGGAACAAATGTCGGCAACAAGCGTATTCTTTGATGTTGCCGCCGAAAATGGAAACACGATTCCCGACATTGTTTCGTTTTGTTGCTAAAACTAGGTGATTACAGAAACATTTGTCGGCAACACGTGTTGACAAATGTTGAAAACTTTGGTGGAGACGCGCCATTAGAGATGCTAGTCAGTAGGTGCGAGGTCGGGTGAATATGGAGTGATAGGTAAGGCTTTCCATCCCAAGTATACTATTGGTTTTTTTTTTACCACGGTCATTTTCTTGTTTGTTTATTTTCAGTTTGCTTGTTCCGGGTGGAACTTGCAACCCAAATTTTAAGCACGTTCCGATGAGCTAGACTTGAAATTTTAACATAACTAAGAATCGGGTGACAATATAGAATAAGAAAAAACTTGGTAATTTTTTTTATCCAAAATTTAAATAAACGTCACTTGTTTTTAGTCTAGAAAGCTGTTTAAGGTGTATTATTATAATAATGGTAAACAACACCTTTACGATTGCATAAAACTGAGTGATTAGTTTTTATTTTTTACCGACTTCAAAAAGTAGGAGGCACTGAATTCGACTATATTTTTTGTTTATTTTTTATGTGTGTTACCTCAAAGTTTTTTCTAGGTGAACCGATTTTGATGATTATTTTTTTTTTTGAATTGAAAACGTGTTTCTCATGTGGTCCCATGATCAAGATTATCCTTAATAAGAATCGGGTGACAATATAGAATAAGAAATATTAATAATTAATTATATAAGAAATATTAATAATTAATTATATTAATTATATTATTTATACTTAATTTATATTGAAGCCGATTGTACAAAAATTTTAATTTTACCACTTGTCTTTACGTTTATTGCACAATTTATGAGATTTTCAATTGAGCAATTATTTTTTTGTTAAGGGAACTAACTTAAGTATTATCCTTTAAAATTCCTCCAAGCACTAAATATTTTTTTACGAATGCGAATCTAGTTTTGGGAGTGATGAACTCAGCTTTCGTTTTAATCCGTTTCATACTCGGAAAAATCCCGCAAATAAGCGGATTCCGCACACACAATTCCGATCCCGATGACGCACGATCTCGGTATTTCGAGATCACGATATACCGATATTGAATCGACTAACTTTGAGAATTGACCATAGAAGTAGTAACTAGTGTAGCGACCAAAGAGCAGATTTTGGCCGAAGCCAAAGTCGAAACCCTTTGTTCGGATTTTTGGACGTAGTTACACAAAAACCTACTTTGATATATTGAGATTTAAGGTTTATTAACGTAAATCAGTGATGCCTTTTTAGTTTTAAATATACAAAAATGTTGCTCTATTTTATCCTGTTTTGTTAAAAGTATTAAACTATACGCAACGAAAATGAAGTATAAGCTAAACACTATTTGGGATCGCTCTTGGTTCGAGTGAGGTATGAATACCTTTTGCGTAACGAAATTTCTTTTAGCACTAGCAACAAGTAGGGATAAAAATGAAAATTTCATAGATACTATCAGGTCTTTACCTACGAAATTAACGTTTTTTATGAAATAAGTTAACTTTTTCTATATTTTTTATTTCCATTATTCAACCCATGTAATCAATGCATTTTTGCTAACACAGTGGCACTTTATTGATGCCCTTCTTGAAAAAATCAGCTGGAAGTCAGGCAACAAATTCCTTAAAGGCATTTTGTACTGCCTCTCAGGTATTGAATTTTTTTCCCGCCAAAAAGTTATCCAAAATCTGGAAAAAGTAGAAGTCGGTAGGGGCAAGGTCTGGTGAGTGCGACAGATGACGAAGAGCTTGTAACCCCAGCTCTTGTAACTTGGAGATTGTCTGTTGTGGCCAAAGCTGGTTGTTGACTTGCGAGCTTCTCCATCATTGTGAATCACACCGGTGCTAGACCATCAAACAGTGTCCATCACTTTTCTAGGGGTAAGTCTTCGTTTAGGGCATTGGTTAGGTGCTGAACCAGGAGCCAACCAACTTGCTGAGCGCTTGCGATTGTCAAACAGAATCCATTTTTCGTCGCAGGTACCAATGCGTTTCAAAATTCCTTCGTTTGTGTGCCAATTTGACGCAAATGGACCAATATTGTTTTGATGCTAACGTCGATAGCTGCTGCTAATTCAGCCGTAGATTGAGTATCATCAGCTTCCACAATCGCCTTTAATTCGTCATTATCATTTAATTTGTCAGTGCCACAGTTGTCATGAGTTGTTGTAACTCGTCAAAAATTTTTAACATATCCATGATGATGAAAAATATTCAAAAGCGAAGTAAACATAACCGTAATCAATAAACAAATGACTAATTTTGAAAAAAGTATTCCATATTTTTAAAATAATATTAATTCGGGATTAGAATTCTTTTCCAAAGATAAAATTATTTTCATTTGAAATGGCCAGTACTGCAAAACGGCAATTTCATAGGTACATAACGATATAGATATATTATTATTATTTCATGCCCTAAACTGTGTTCATAAATTTCAATTAAGTATATAAATATATTCTTTAAAAGATCTTAATTTAAAAAAATACTAACAAAAATATAAGAAGGTATAAATATTAAAAATCAGCCTTTTAGCAATTAAATTTAGTTAATTGTAGAGATCAATACATTATCATCACCAGAAGATGCACTAGAAGAGTTCGAGCAGTCTGTATACGAGCCGTCTGAGGCGGACGGACTGAAAAATGTTTTGAAAATTAGTTCTGAGGAATAAACTTTGTACAGACTGTAATTTAAAAGATCTAATATTTAAACAATTAAATAAAAATTAGTTAACGTTTCTTATAATCTTTAACCATAGAACTTTATTTTTAGTAATGCGATAATTTCTACACACAATATGCTGAAGATTTTTAGTTTCTGCGTTTTTCCATAAATTTCTAGAAATACCTACCTTAATTAATCGTGATCAATTTGATTAAATTCTAGATTTTATAAAGGCACAAAATCAGACTTTATTATACCATAACAAATTATATTCACTAATTTGCAAGAAAACGGGCAGATTTGATTTTTTTCCTGCATGAAAAAGTACATTACGAAAAAGGTCTAAATTATTTAAACATGTTACTAGCCGGTTATAAAAGTGCCCTAGTGTTTAAAAAAGTTCGTTTCTAATTCAAATTTTTGACTGAAGCTTGTTTTTGAAGGAAACAACTTTTGGCTACTTTGTTGGCGCGTATTATCTTATTTCCTTGACATTTTAAAGTATTGTTATTGCTGTTTAGCGTTCTCGAAAATAGTAAATAAAAATGATAAAGGCCAGCAAAATTATTGCTATAATCAGCAACCACTTATTTCACCAGTCACACTGCAGTTACCCAATTTTATATACTAAGTATAACATAAATCTTTATTTGCCAGAACATAATATACAGCATGGTATAAAAAGACTTTATGGTAAACAATTTCCTATAAGTTTATTCTGCCGCAGAGTAGAATAGGATTAAATCCTGATGACGAAGGCAATTAATTTTATAAAGGTGTTTTTCACGGTATCATATAAGCTGGGAAAAATCCTTTGTAAAAGGTATTCAATCTCCTTTATAAAAGGTATCTCTCAAGTTGGACCAAACTGAACGCAGTGTGCAAAATTTTATTGAAATCAGTTCAGTAGTTTAGGTCCATCGTGGACAAACAACGTGAAACATAATTTTTATATATAAAGATAATGAATAAAAAAGTTTCAGTTTCTGTTTCTGTTTCTAAGAGTGTGGTACCCACCTTGACGGACTACTAGGCATAAAAGATGTCCTACCACCTAGTAAATTAATATTTCCAATATTTACAAATATTCTATGAAATCAAAATCTGTATAAAACCAAGAAAAAAATATTGGTACGTAAATTACCATCTTTCAGTTTCCAAATGATGTTTCCTGAAACGGGTTCCACTGCCACCATACCACCTCCTAAAGTAGCAAACAATAGTGGCCGGTCATCTAAAGCACGCGATAATTCTGTACTTTCCTGAAATAGCAATATTATTCACATTATAATATTGATATTTACGATGCCCCATAATATTTTAAGAGATCACTGCGATGCACTTCACCTTTCTTTCTTTATCGGCTGTTCCGAGCCTATTTGTCACTATAACAATTACGATTACAGCAAGCAACTTCATTTTAAATCACCAATTAACTGTCATTTATTATAATATCCATTTTATTTTTAAACTATAATACAGTAAAATATAATTACATTTAATTAACATAAAAAAATCTCGCGAACAATATAATCTGAATATGCAAATCACAAATCCACTTCACAAAATACTACCTACACAATACCTACACATTCGCATCAAAACCTCATCTTGTCAAAACTACAGTATGACTATATGTCATTGTGTCAATGATTTGACGTTCCACTGTAGGGCTGTTGATAAAATATCGATATATCGAAATTACGATATTATTATTAGAAATGTCTATTTTTGATACTAATATTTTTAGACGATGTATCGATAGTTTAATCGATAGATCTCGACAGTCAAAATTTTTTTAAATTAATCACAGTCGTATTAATTTATAATTTTTTTCGTAAATCATTAAAATTACAACACCATCGTAAACTTAAATCTTAATAGTTAAATAGTACTTTATTTACACTATACCGGGTGTTTGTGAAACACCCCCGAAAACGAAGAGAGACGATAGTACTAACGATACTTTATTTTCACAACATTTTATTAGCTTTATTCATGATCCATCATGTTAGTACAGCTAAATAAAACGATAATTTCATTTTAAAAAATCATGAAAATACTTTAACATTAAACCAGCAGTGGAATTTAAAATAAATAAATCATAAAATCAGCTGACTAGGGTCCGCGTCGAAACCAAACCCTTTTATCTAGCTCGGTACAGGTCCCGTCACGTAAAAAGAACACTGAGCAACAGTGGAGGGGGTGTGTCTGCGCATGGGTACAGTCGCGTTCTAAAGTACTACATGGTACTAAGTTATTGTTTTATAATATTTTAATAGTAATTAATGGTTTTATTATAATTTATAATAGATACTTTATTAGCTACTTAGAACTTTAGAAGAGGTTGGAATTAAAAATGGATGTTTAGGCCAAACAATTAACATTTGAAATTTGCATTCAACACTCGTGTCCTCCCGTTGACTTTGTAAAGGTCACCGTTGCCCCACTCCCGTGCGGGTCGCTCGGCAGAGGGTGCGGGCGCAGGACGCAAGTACGAAGTCAGTAGCTTGACAGCAGCGGCACTGTCGATTAACGAATTTTGTGATTGCTACATTGGTTTCGCGCGACCCGTTTTTTTGGTTTTGGTGTCTAGAATTTGAGTATTTGTGCGCGTTTAATTTGCTATTGAATTTGGGGTTTCATGTAGACCGCCTCGAATTAGTTTGTCTAAGTTGTACGTTCGTGACAAGAGGCTTGTATTGAATTTGACTGATTAAAGTAATTTCGTTTGAAAGTAATTATGTCATTTGTATAGTGATTGCATGTGGAAGTGCATTTTGCAATATTTAACTTGCTTGTGTGACGTGGAACCTCACGCGCACGCCGAGTAGACATACGTCTGGAATTTGATGCTCGCATTCCATTTCGAGGGCGTAGCCCGGTTAATTGTTTTTGGAAGTTAATGTTTAATTGTACCGTCGCGTTAAGTGCCTTTTATGTGTTGACTATGTAGTTAGTTTACGTGTCAGCTAGGCTGATTTTGAGTCTTAATGCGGACATAGTATTTCATATCGTACGAAGGAATTTACTTTGTTGTTTGTAACGCGGAACTTTGTGACCCCAGAGAAGGTCGCGTTCGGTTCTAGAAATAATTTGTTGCTGAGTGAAAACGGAAGTGAACTTTGATCCACCGTTCATTAGTCGTGCAGTGTGTTACGTTTTTGATTACGATTAACGGGGATTTAGTTGAGTTTGAAGTTAATTAAATGTACAATAAAGTTGATAGATTGAAATAGTGTACAATAAAGTTGATAGACTGAAATAGTGAAATGAAGAAAGAAGTTGTCAACTGGTGACGTTCGCTGGAGTGATACAACATGGTGGGGCAGCATCGGACCAGGCCGCTGCCCGATCACCTCAATTAGGTCAGGTCACATATATAAACACTACTACACACCACTTACATGCACCTACACCTACCTATCGCCTGACCGAGCCTTGGGGCAGTCTTAGCTTCGGAACCAGGTACGTACTATTTATTTGCCTAGCCTTATATATATTCTGTAGAATGATAAGTCTAAGGCCCTAGTCCAGTTAACCTTTGTTGGGGCAGCTAGGGGCGTGTACAATGGATAATGTTTACTTAACACGCCGTCCATTATATCGTCTTGGGTCACTTTTTTTTTATATAGGATAAGGGTGACAAACGAGCACACAGTCCACCTGATGGTAAGTGGTTGCTGTGGCCCATAGACATCTGCATCTATCTTCGTTTGCGAATTAAAATGCAAATGCGTTGTCAGTCTTGAGGACTAAGATAGAATGCCTCTTTTCCAGTAAAACGGGTCTCCGGTTCTCTACACTCACCATTCGAAACACGCTATTTTACGCTGGTATTCTGTGAGAACGTGGTCCTTCCCCGGTCGAGCCGACCCATTCGTGCTACAACTCCATTATTAATATAGCTGCAGCATAGCTCTACCACGTAAAAAAATGAAAGCCAGATGTCGATAGTTGTTGATGTTGGTGTTACTGGATGCTACTTCATCATCACATTCATCTTCGCTTGAGCTTCCGTCATCAGAATCATTATCATCAATGCGAATGAAAAACCATCGTCGCGCATCGTGCAAAGCAAGCTGTGTGTGCGACTGTATTTTAGGAAACATCGAATTATCAAATCACGGGTAGAATAAGAAACCAATAGCGAGTGCGCACAGTAATACTGGCGAGCATTCCCCCGTCGCGCCCCATTAGTATCTCGCGCTGCCGCCGCGCGATCGACTTGTGTCACCTCGAGACAGCGTTGCCAACATATGTGGAATTCCCCAAATTGCGGGGAATTTAAAGAATGGGGATTGATATTATACGGGGATTTTGAAAATCGATATACTTATCTTTACATTTTTGTTACGTTGCTTATGAATATCGAATGACTCCCTTTATTTTTAAATATCTTCATTGCACCACATTTAAGACTTATTTCGGCAACTTTTGTGTATCATTTAATGCTTTTCATTTCTTATTTTTTTAATTTTAAAGCAGAGAATCGCATACATATAAATGCAGATACTGTGGTATTCTTTAATGGCAAAAAGGAAAGGAATTCAAAATACTCCATGGAGCAAAATGCTTGTAACAAAAATATGGAAAGTGTGAAAAAAAAAATTGGTAAAAGAAAAAAATGTTAGTTAAAAATAAATCTTATAAAGTTAGTTCAAAATTGCTAAATTTCTTAAAATAAAATTGAAAGGAATCTGTTGAAGTTGTTTTTTCCTTAAATTGGGGAATTTGATATGGATTTTTGGATTTGACAAATTGGTGTTGGCGACGCTGCCATGACGCACCGAAATTTACCTACAAAGCAAAGAGAATATAACCACTACGTTTAAGAAGCGGGACTTCCTAAGAAAAAGTAAATGTATGACATTGCGCCAAGCTACTCTACCAACATCTTGATATTTAATTTTTAAGAAACAGTGCTGACAACATAGGCGATTTCTAATAGTGCTGTAAATGTCTATCCTCGAATAATTTTATCGATATAACCTTTATCCATATATTGTTTATCGATATTTTACATAATAAAAGTTAGTTCTCTATACTGAAATATTTATGAGCAATACTTTTTTAACCTGGGGATTGAGTAACAATGCCGATTAGGATAATAAATCATTGTATTTTACACGCAGAAATTTGTAATTATATCTCTACAGTTATTAGGTACAAAAATATGTGTAAAGAAAATATAAAATTAAAACGCACTATTATACTAAATTAAGTACAAACTAAATGACGACTCCGTAGCGCAGAGGCTAAGCGTTTGGCTGCGGCATTGCTGGACCGAGGATTCGTTCACGCACTGAACAAGTGTTGCTATGCTGTAAAATAAATAGTCTGCGTCTCGATGCTTGTTTTCAACGTCAGTTTTTTTAAAGGGTATAAAATTGGGTTTATTAACACTAATTGGATTAAATTGCTTTTAAGTGTAACAAATACTATGTACAAATCGCTAGGCTTCTTCACAGAGGTAACTACGTACTTACTACTCGCAGAGATCGTTTACTAATTGTCGCTTTCAAAATGAGTGCTCATTATTGCTAATGTTTGTAGATGAATCTATAAAAAAAAATTATAACCAGTTAATTACAAATAACTTTAAGTTTAGTTATATAATCGGATTCTTACGAATTTGTGACTTTAGAGGGATATTAACTTTTCATGTAAATGAAACCTAATTAACATACACATAATAGTGGAACTTTAAATTAACTCCACTGTTGAAATCCAATACTCCAACAATCCAACTAAAACAGTTCGTTTTAGTTGGATTTTTAAATCCTCGGATTTGCAATGTTTGCCACAAATATGTGAATCTTTTCAATTGGTGCATGTGTCAGCTGTTTCGCCCATAGCTTGCATCTGCAAAATAATATAAATAAAATCACATTTTTATTGAACAAATAGAATGTTATCAGTCACAATTGATGATGTAGTTTCTAAGTATTGCCTTCTAAGTATTATTGGTTTCGGATTGCCATCCCATCGAACCATCAGATTTAGGAAATTGTGTGTTTGTATTTGTACACACAATCGTACACTATTAAAACCTGTCCCATCTAAATGACTAATCCAAAAATGTAGTCGCGTTAAACATCATATTACAATTAAAGTTAAACTCACCACATACCTTTCATCATCTAAGGGAAATATTGCTACGAATAGCCTTTTCTTCTTATAATTTTTTCCGCTTCTTGCACCATTTAATTGGCAAATTTTATAATGCATATTTTTTTTAACAATTCTGTAAATGAACAACAGCTTCTATAACAAAATTTAAAGCAATCTTAATAAATAAAATATATACAAATGTAATTGTTTGATTTGACATTTGAACTTATTTGATTTGACAATGTCGTTAATAGACATATTACGAAAAGCGGAAAGAAGAGATAACCGTCATTAAAATTTGACCCCTGTAGTACATACAATTTTTACTATGGAAGTTGCGCCAGCCTGCTACTAAGATTTGTTTGCAAGCGACAGAAGAATTAGAGGCGGCAATCACAATAAAACTTGCAAGTAATTTTTAAAAGTTTTGACGTACCTCTTTTCAAATAAAAGTATTGGACGGATAAAAAACGGAAAGTTAATTAAAATAAAGTAAAAGATTAATTTTTTTGATTAATTAATAATAAATAATGATCGACATTATAATCGCAATAAATTTTAACTATTAAATTATTCAATACCATTTCAAAGAAGCACATTTTCTTGACAAATATAAAAGAAAACGACGAATAAATACAATTTATCAAAAGGAGCCATTCCTTCATTATTTGTACCAGTCAGTATAATATTATTATAGTAAGAATTCAAAAATTTACTTCAAAAAGTAGATAAAAATAGAAATAGATTTTTGTGCAATATATATCTCTAGTACATTAAACATAAAAAAATCTTGAGAGTATCCTATGTAAGCCATTATGAACCCAAATAAGTATCGATTTATGGACCAAAAAATATATAACCTTACTTAACCATCCACAACTCAATGTCACACTATTTATTACAATATTCATAGCATCATGCTATTTTCCGCGGAGCGGAGCTTCGGATTATATTTCCACGTTACAATGATAAAACTTTTAGAGTAGTTAAGTATATATATTTAGTAATGCTCCTGAATCATCGTTAGACACCCGCGCATGAGACGCGCGGTTCAATGTGCCAAGATGGTGCAAATTCTATAGTATTTTACACTCACAACATTTGATTCCCGATTCATGCTTGATGCCCGATGACAGTGTGCTGATGGCTTGATAGCGTGGTCATCGCTTACAGCGTTAGTTGTAGAGAAGAGGAACTCGTGAATAAGTATCAGCTGCGTGGATCAATAGATCTGCGAGATTAAGCTGCACTAGCCACGGTCAGTCCATAGATGGGTGACAGTTTTCTTAACATACCGAGATTGAGTGGTATATACACGTGGTATACGTGGTAAAGCCATGCTGCAGCTATATTAATAGTATAGTTGTAGCACGAATGGGCCGGCTCGACCAGGGAAGGACCACGCTCTAGCAGAATACCAGTGTAAAATAGCAGTTTTACACTGCCATGTTTCGTATGGTGTGTGAGAAGAATCGGATACCCTTTTTACTGGAAAAGAGGCATTTCATCTTAGTCCTCACGGGTGACAACGCATCTGCATTTTAATTCTTTATTGAGATTTAATGTAGATGTCTTTGGATCTAGAAACCACTAACCAACAGGTGGACTGTGTGCTCGTTTGATATTCTAATTCTATAAAAAAACCCTTGCGCGTTCGCTCGATGACCAATCCAGATACGTGTGCAGAAGGTCTCTGCTTGCAATTAACTTTTTAGAATTTTTGGGTTATTATACCGTAGGTGTTTTCGCTTTAGTATAGGATTGATGTAACTGTTACGTAGTGACATTATTTAATCTTTGCGTCTACTCTACTCTCCATGATTACTAGAGTTTTGGCGGGAACTTGACCGGCGACGGTTTGCTGCTTCTGTATTATTGTTTAAATAATGGTTTGAAGTGTCTGCGCATGTAAATTACTAGTGGAAACTGTGAAACAAGTGTTCTGATGGTGATGTGATTCTCAAAATAAGGTGTCTGTCTGCTTAGACGCCTTGAGATACCATCGCCAATTGTCAGCTGTCTGCTGGCTCAAGTTGCCGTCAAAATTTCTCATGTGCTGCACAATGTGACGCATCAACATATTATGAAGCAGTATACTATGAAGGATAATTATAATATATTGTAACTTCAGGCTCAGAAGGGCCAGATCCCAGAGCCGTAAAGCCAGTTATTAAAAAAATCCATGATTACTTCTTTTAGTTTATTTTTCTTATTATATAGTTTGTGGTTTGTGATTATATCGTTCTATTATCCGAGTACAATATTAGTCTGTATTTTAATACTCGTATCGATAAAAATATTTAACAGTATCGACAATTATCCCGTGATAAATATATGTCGTTATATTTTGCATGATGTAGTATATAGGATGAGGGCCAAAATTTTATAACTGAACGTCTTGACGGCGAAAAAAAAACAACAGCAAATGAATGCTTTTTTATCTATAAAACTATGAAATAAATATAACATTTTAAGTTATATCGAATTTGATAAGTATTCGATACTTCAAAATAAATATGGAATATTGATATATCGCGATTAAAAATATCGACTATAAGTATGGGTGATTTTGTGTGAAAACATCGATATTTCGATATATCGATTTTTTTCTATTTTTCTCACTTCTCAGTATACGACCCGAGCCTATGGTAGTTTATCGGTTATTTTATTCGGTTATCGGAATCATAGATTACTGTATATATACTAGAGAATCGGAATCAATCAGAATAATTCCATGTTGCGTGTTGTTGATAGATAGGTATATTGTCTGAAAAATATAATATAATTTGCTGAAGTTGAAACATTTATACTGTGTTATAAAAATTAATTAGATTATGTGAATCAAAAATTTAATTTGTGTTGTGAATTATGGAGGTGACGGGTTCGGGTATGTTATTTCAATGAGATATTTTAATATTTTTTCGTTGCTGTTCAGTTTACAAGTTCAAGCAATTAATATTGTGAAACAATTATGTACGCATTAGAATCTTTTTAACATTATTTAACATGGAAATATTTGTTAATTTTTTTTCTTTGACCATCAAAGAAGTAAACAAACTACAAAATGCGCATGATTGAATATAGTTTTTGATCGAAATGTATACTTACTCTAGTGCTTTAAATGTTTCAACTTGAATTTAGAAATTAACATAAAAGTTTTTTTTAGGAAAATCCCCCAATGCAACTTTGTCATTCAGATACAATGCCAACAATGAAGAGTTAGAGGAACTATTTCAACCATGCGAAGACGATCCTCCTACTCCACAGAGTGAACCTCCAGCAAAAGAACCTGTTACCGCTAGCCCTAAACGTGCAGACAAAACTTCAATCATAGATAAATATTTTAAAAATATACGTACGGAAAAGCCCATAGATAAACAAGATGATGCCAAACTTTTAGAGAATAAACGTCAAGAAGATACTCGTAGTCCTGTGCCTTCAAAAGAGGCTTCATCATCTCCAGTGAAAGATTATTTAAAGGGCCTTGGAAAAAAGAGCACATCAGAAGTAATACCAGAGGTAAAAGAGAGTGGTAATGAAACTTGGAAGATATTCCATGACTTCAAATTTAAAATAGCTCAAGCTGTTGAAGATATGAAGACGCGTTCTGTAGATGGTAAATTGTTTTAAAATGTTTCTGTTTAATTTTTTTTTTTAGAAAATATCTATTCATCTGGCAAACAAAGCAGCTAGGGTGTCACTTGGGACACTTCCAAAGCCTCAGACTACTTTTACTATTATTTAACACATAATTCCCATTAGAATTTAAGGCCTCCCAAGTTCATTGTCTTCTGTAAGTTAACTTGAAAAAAGAAATATTTTTTTTTTATATTAAAATTATTGATTCTTACAACAGCCAAGTTCTTTATCCCAACTTATTTTATTTATTTATTTAATTATTATCTCAACTGAAAAGAGTGACTTTTTGAATTCTCTTCTAGTTAATTCTGGCTGTGGTGAAATATTATGGTAGGTGTTAAAAATATAAATGTTAAAAATAATCTATGCATAATAAAGGGAGCATTACTAAGGTGCTAAGATATATTGTATCAGAGAATCAAGTCCCAAACTTCTGATGCTATTTGTGGAAATTTATGTCAGCAAGGACAACAGCATCCTCCTAATGTATTATATTATTTCGTCATCATATTTGATCATAAACTATTTATAAATGGGTAAAATTAGCTTGCCTATGATGCACACTCTTGTAATATATAATTAAGACATTTAATTCTTAATCCTGGAATGGAAATTTGTAACATAACAAATAATTTGTGTTTTAGTTATCCCTAATAAAATAAGTGAATAATAAAAATGGCAGGCTGCTAACCCACCTGCCAAGTGTGGTAACTGTAGCAAATATCCTCCCTCTATGGAAGTCTATGGAGGAGGCCATGTTTGGTATCAAACTTTTAATGGGTTATTTATAATGAAGGAATGAGTGCTAAATGGAACAGGTTGATATGATAAATACACATATTATAGGAGAGTCCGTATCTACACAGGGGAGTAGTGAGTGGTGAATCTCTCAGAATCCAGGCCCACAGTGGCGCCAGTTCGATGTCAGCCCACAGCGGCTAGTTATGATGTCTACACATATTATACTCACTATTATCCAAACCAAAATAAAAGAAAAAAAAACTACATAAACACCCCGTTTTTCATCTGACATTTATATTAGTTTGTTTTCTTTATCAAAAGCATAATTTCTGTGAAAGTTTTTGAAATTACTTTCTAAAATTAAAATTGAAAAATAACATTATGGTGAAAATTCAAATGATCATATTATTTGCATCTTATTTCAATATCACTTTTTTTTTTTAATAGAACCTAAAGAAAAGTTGTTACCGCCAGAAAGTTCTACATCAGATTCAGAAGAGAACTCTGCTATAAAGGATATGGATCAACAAAGTGTAGGAGACACAGACAATCAGGTATGCCATAGTTATCATGTTATGTTAGTAATATACATTATTTGGACTTGAACTTTACTTAAATCAATGTATTACATCAATATTCAAAGACTAAACAAGTCAATAGGCATGTGACATTGATTATTGTAAACTACATCAACCTGAAAATATCTGTCCAGGTTTCCTCACTTGACAGTAGCATACAAAATCTATCAGAAATGACTCAACCTTTAACAGCAAAGGCTTCTCAGGGCGAGCCAAGCCTTTCTGCAAATAAAATACAGTCAAGTTCTAGTGAAGATACACATAAAAATATAGGTGAGTATGTTAAAATTATCTAAAAAACTGCAAAATTATTTGTAGACTTAGTGATTTAATAAATGATGTTTTTGCAGAGAATAATGACTTAGCAGATGTACCTAGAGATGATAGCATCGAAATTGAATCGGGTGTAGAAGCTTTGGAAGATACAATAGATGCTTTTGGTGATGTTACGCAATTAGAGTCTGCTGAGACTCCAGTCAAAAAACCTCTTGAGCTTGCAGCCACTGAATCCCCTATACCAACAACAGATTTTAATTTCCCGCCGAGTAAAAATGACTTACACAACACCAAGCCATCTGATAAACCAAAATCGACTCCCTTTACATTCACTATGTACTTTTTAACAATTTTCCTTATAGTGAATTATTTTCTGTTTCCGAAGTCAGATATTTGGATTGGTTTCCTATTAGGGATTTGGGTTTTTTGTTTCACAAGTTATTGTAAACACTGGTTTTTGGATAATTACTTCAGTGAGTGGGAACCAGGCAAAAGTAGTTATTTCCAAATGAAAAGTAGCAGTGCTGCACCAATAACTTATACAATACCATCGGTAAAAGAACATAGGCCCATGAAAAAATACGAGGTATGCAACATATAAAGTTATTATTTATATTTCGTAAGTTTAAGATGAATTAATTTGTATGTTTGGTTTTAGGGTTGGATAAATCATTATAGATTTCCAGATTATGATCCCTACACTTATCACATCAATAAAACAACCACTGCTTTTATTAAATTAGAAGGTAAGTTCTTAGATGTGAGTAAAAAATATAAATATTAAATTAATTATTTGATTCATATTTCAAGCGCTTTACAGCACCCATGGTCAGGGGAATTGAGGTGTTTGACCTCTTGATGTCATAGTTAACGAAAGCTACCTTCAACTATTATATATTAATCTTTGGTCCAATCTACGCAGAACGAGCTTACAGTATCTTGAAGTTCTGTAGTAGTATGCTTGGTCTTAGATTTAATTTTATTAATTATGAGATCCAAAGCATATAGTAATCCCGTAGCGTAGATGGCTGACGCTAATGAAATTAGGATGTGTTTTAATTTCAATAGCCTTATGAATCATCCTTGGTTGAAATAGGTTTTCTTGTGGCCTCTCAAATCTGTTGTAATGGTTGGGACGATCTTGTAAATTTGTACATACTGCTGACTTGCCAGAGCTTCACATCAGCTATATGTTCTTTTACGCGGGTTTTTATGGATCGTTTTGTTGGTCCCATGTAAGAGGGACCACATTCACAACCAAGCTTGTGCATTACCGCATCTTGTAGAACGATATTACACTTAACGGAAGCTAAGAACTGACTAATTTTCTTCGGCGGCTTGTAGTATGTTCGTGTGGTAGTCTGCTTCAAGATGTACCCAATCTTGTCTGTGACTCCTCTTACATATGTTAGTCAGCAGCCACTCGACTGTTAGCCATTTAACTCGATCACTGTGACGTAGGTGCTGTACCCCAAGCTTTTGTAGTCGTGCAATTCTTGCTTGATGTACTGGAGCTTGGCGGCAAAGTGTTTACTGTCACAGATCCCCTGTGCTCTCTGAAACAAAAATTTGTCCACGGTAGCTAACGGTGAAACGGTGGTGAGATGAAATATCGATTAGTATGGGACTATTTTCTATACACAGTGTAACTAATTATGTTATTAGGATTCCGAATGACTAAAACATCTAGGAAAGCTAAAGATAGAGCTTCTCAAGTAGATAAAAATTTGGCATTAAAATAATATATCTTATATCTATATAAATAAAATGATAGAGGTTTGCAGTTGTGCGCGTATCACGGAAACACTACTGGATATATTTCTATTAGGTTTTCTAACTTTTATTTCTTGGACACTTGGCCCTTATCTAAAAAAAAAATATTGCGATATCTTCATTTAATATAAAGTTATTAAAGTTTTAAAAACTAAAATTTTTATAAGCACTACGTGTTCAGTGATGAGTGTTTAGCTGTTTCTCACACGGTCAATTGTACGTCGCTTGCTCTCGCGTTACTAACTCAGATAATTTATATATTTTAGCTTCAAACCGAGCAACGAATAACATTGTTTACGTAGAAATTTTGTAGCCAAAGTATATTTTTGCTTGAGATCTTTTTGTTGTTTATTCCTTCGCACATACGAACACTTTGTTAATATATCAAGCAACGCGGACTAAGTCGCGGGTATCAGCTATCTATTATAAAAGCTTATTTTACGTACATCACACTAGTTATTAGAATTCCGAATGACTAACATCTAGGAAAGCTAAAAAATGAGCCTCTCAAATAGGTAAAAATTTGCCATTAAAATAATACATCTATTATAAATTTTTATTTTTTTATTTATGTACATCACACTAGTTTTATTACTAGTACTCGCTTCTCGCTCATCGCCGGCGGACGAGGGCCAGAATAACTGGGTTCTCGCTAGCACTTCTACAGCACTCGACTTCATCTCGCCTCCTCTCTTTTGCACCCTTGTGGTTTCGCTTGGCACGTTACATAGTGGGCGCGATTTAGTTTTTTTTTAATTTCAAATAGAAAAATTGTGGCGCTTGGCCCCGGCCCCTTTCTTATGCCGCCCGTGACAATGCCCCCCTCCCCCCCCAAGCTGGTTATTTCTGATATTTGGCTAGTATAGGACCATAAAAAACAATTTGTATAAGTGGTTTTTGGTTGTATTATAGAATTTGGGGACATCACATTACTTATATGACATTTGGAGGCAAAACAATAATCACAGCGGTGATCACCCCCTCGAAATTGCGAGCGAAATAGTAAATAATAAGAATAATAGTAAGACGCGAGTAATGACGTCTTTTTTTTATAGGAGAGGGGGCAAACGAGCATGCGGCTCACCTGATGGTAAGTGACTACCGCCGCCTATGAACAACTGCAACACCAGGGGAATCGCAGATGCGTTGCCGGCCTTTTAAAAAGGATTAGGTTCTTTTCTTGAAGGTCCCTAAGTCGTATCGGTCCGGAAAAATCGCTGGTGGTAATCGATTCCACAAGGAAGTTGTGCGAGGGAGAATACTTCTTCTGAATCGCACAGTGGTGAACCGCCAATCATCCAGATGATATGGATGGTATCGCGAGTTTTGTCGCGATGTGCGATGGTGAAATTGAGAGTGGTAGATGCGATAAAATACGCAAAGAGATGCAAAATCTCTACGCAGTGCCAGTGAGTCAAGCCGATCGGAAAGAACTCGGTCGTCGACGATTCGAACCGCTCTGCGCTGGATGCGGTCAAGTGGAAGGAGCTGACACTGGGGAGCCCCTGCCCAGAGATGGGAACAGTATTCCATGTGAGGCCGAACCTGCGCCTTGTAAAGTTGCAAGCGGTGTGCCCGCATGAAATACTGCCCCGCTCTGTTGAGCACGCCAAGGTTTTTAGAGGCCAATTTAGCCTTCTCTTTCAAGTGACCACGAAACTGCTAGTCACTCGATATTTCGGCACCGAGGATACCGATACTGGCTGAGGCAACAAGGGGAGTGCCTTGAAACTGAGGAGATACGACAAAGGGATTCTTTTTAGCGGTAAACGCGCAACCTTGTGTCTTCTGGGGATTGAACTGGACTAGATTTAGTCGCCCCTAGTCTGAGACTTTGTTCAACAAAGTCTCGACTTCAGATACAAGTTTGTTCCGGTACTCGGCGACGTTTTCCCGAGAAATATTGGCACGACCGGTGTATAAAGCATCACCAGTGCTGTCGTCTGCATAGCAATGAATGTTACTGGTTTGCAACATATCATTGATATGCAGAAGAAACAGCGTTGGTGATAGCACGCAGCCTTGTGGAACACCAGCGTTAATGGGATTGTAGTCTAAGCATGCACCGTCTACTACGACCTTGATGCTCCGATCTGCAAGAAAACTGATGATCCAATTGCACAATCTCTCGGGAAGCCCATAGGAAGGCAGCTTCGAAAGAAGCGCTTTGTGCCAAACCCGATCGAAAGCCTTCGCTATGTCCAAATTAACGGCCAACGCCTCCGCCCATCTATGAGTCAGGTAGACCAGAAGATCACCAGCTGAGCGACCTCTACGGAAACCGTACTGGCGGTCATTAATCAGCTGGTGATCTTCAAGGTACCGCATGAGCGGGCTGTTAATAATCGTTTCCTTCCATTACTTTGGACGGATCTGAGCGGTCGCCTTTTTAGGGATCGGGTGCATCAAAGCTGTCTTCCATGTGTTCGGGACTATGACGACTTTAATACGCGTACGTATAAGACGCGTTAAAACCGGTGCCAACTCCGGAGCACACGTCTTCAGCACAATAGGCGGGACTCCATCAGGCCCACTCGACTTGTTGACGTCCAGGGAGAGGAGTGCTTTACGCACCAAGCGCTGTGTAAACAGCACTTCCCGCATGGAGCACTCACACCGCGGGATGGTCGGCGTTGTGTTCTCCCCATCATCTAGAGTCGAGTTGGAAGCAAAAAGAGAGCCTAGCAGATCGGCTTTCTCCTTTGCGTCATGGGCCAGTGAGTCATCCACCCTATGCAGAGATGGCAGAGATGACTGACAGAAGTTCCCTTGGACGAACGAGGCGAACTAGTTTCTCGCCAATTCTGCTGTTGTGCTCTGACTTTGCCTTGACAATGACACTTTTGAAGGAACTGAAGGCGGAATTATACTTATTTTTAAGAGCGCTGGTGTTTACATCCCGGGACGTTGATGCTGTAAGGACGAGGGAAATGAAACACTTGAGTGTTGACGTAAGACTGTCTGTAATTACGTTATTGTTAAGTTTATATATTAAATGATACCCAAACATACGTATATATATTAGGTAGATACTACACCTTCCTTCCCAAAGAAAAAAAAAAAGAAATGAATATGTGCATTTCTTTTTTTATAATACTAACATTTAAAATAACACAATTATTATATTCTAATTTATAAAATGTAAACATGGGTAAAAGCATTAACAAATAGTTAAAATAATATTTAGATTAATATGTTTACAATTGGTTTTATAATACTAAGTTTCGCGGTGAACGGAAGTATTATATGAAAAATACCGACAAAAAAATATATAAAAAATAACATATTTGTTTTTTATATAGTAAAAAGTTAATGTTGAATAAAGTCTTATATTATAATTATGTATATATAATATTTGTCTTGGCTTGGGTAGGGTGGCTGGCCAAACCCCCTATGTACATAATAATTCCGTAGTCACATTATGTATGTTTAAGTCTTAATGCATTGTTGCATTGTTGATGCATTATCTTTGACAAAATCAGGTGTACATTCGCGAACGTATATTATTTTGGTCGACACATCACTGTAACACACTTTGATACTGAGTTATTCAGTTACTTATTAAGTCATTTATGTAGACATTCACATTAAATAGTGCCCTTCCTTTATATATTTATTCATATTTATACTTATAATTTTATAGTTATATATTTCATTTATTTATACCTTTATATTTAATGAAACATTTCTTTCATGATTCATACAAATTATTTAAATATTAATACTTTACTTTTTTTTTCGAAAAATAATGCCTTATAAAGATACAAACATATGATTTGAAGGTTCAATAAATATAAAACCGACAATATTACATTTCATTTTAAGATACACATAACAAAGGAGTCTATGTTAGGCAATGTAATCATTTTCATTATCATAACAACTACCAGATCAAAATACAAATTGCAATCCCAGTCGCGTCAGCGATTTGTGACACTTTTGTTTTCAATTCCAAAGTACGTTTATGAGAAGG